AAGAAGAGGCCTTTGAGTTGTGGTGCTGGATAAAAGTATTGACCATACCATGGACCACCAAGAAAACTAGTAGGTCTGTCTTAGAGAGGGTGAAACCAAGTTTCTCCTTGAAGGCTAGAATTTTGAAGCTCCATCTCACATACTTTGGGCATGTGGCTGGGATGGACCAGTCCCTGGAGAAGGAAATCATCATGCTTGGGTAATTGTGCAGGAGAGGAAGATCCTAGATGAGATGGATTGACACAGTAACTGAGGTAATGGGAGTAAATGTATGCTAGAGAGTTGATTGGCTCAGGATAGAACAGAATTCAGAACTAATGTACACGGGGACTCTATGAGTTGCAGATGACTTGCTAGCACATAACAATGGCAACAATTATCAATTTGTATGACTAAAAAAACTTTAGCTGATGATAAAACATCTAAGATGTAGAGGACTAATTAAAGCTGACAGCAGTAGACAGGGGAAAATCTGGGCTTTGAAGGAAGAAAATATTAGCTGTGGTGGTGGTGGTGGTGTGTTTTTCTCTTTTAAATTTACGTTTTGTCTCATGAGTTTTAGTTCATCAATCATCATATTTCAGTGCCTTTTTCCTGTCCTCCCCTTAGATTTCTTACACTGTTTAGGTCTTTCTAGAGCTATTATTCTCATTCAGATTAGTTCTTAAAGCAGAGATCTCAAACTCCAGCTACCTAGCAGATGAATCTTAGAGGCTGTGATACAGTCTACCTCTCTGTGACAATCTTGCTCAACAATAAATTAACACATTTATTTATTTATACAATAAATTAATACATTTTTTGTTTAGGCTAGTGCGGTTATATAAAAGTCTGTGATTCAGAGATGTTGATTTTTCCATAAAACCTAACATCAAATCTAAATCTCACAGCTCTACTTACCCAACACCTTAATTTAGTGATTCCCCACTATTGCTTGTATCATATCAACATTCTTAGCCTCTCATGAACTCTTGGTCACTTATTAGCTTATTTATTTCTTCTTTTATTCTTAGTAATTTTATTTCTTCTCGTCTACTAAGACTACCAAAACAGCATTCATAGCACATAAACATTACATTAAAAGGAACAAATGAAAGTTGCCTTTATAATCCAGAAACATTTTTTCACCTTCTTTATATACATATAGATATTATTTTTAAGAAATCAAAATGGCATTCGTCATTTATGCATATTGTTTTTATGTTTCCTCTGTAATTGAGTGATGTTTTCAGAATATACTCTAATTTTATATATTTTTTTTCTTACTTACTTTTTGTATGCTTGTATTATGGCAGGCTTCTAACTAGTTGTTTAGAAGCAAAAAATCAAGATTATTCTGCAGGCAAACAGAAAGTACCTATGTTTAGCAACCTAAACCATAAGAAACATGAAACTGGTAGACAGTAGGATTTTAATAGCACACAGTATTTCTTAAGTTGTAGAACTACAAATTCCCTCACACTTGTGAAAGATAGCACAAAATATATCCTTCAACTTCGTCTATCAATTTATCTAAAGTTCCAGTTCATGTTGATGATACTTACCAGTAAAATTTCCAGAAAAAAATTTCTAAACTATTAAGTATATAAATGCATCAAGAGTCCACAATAAATTTCAATTACTGTTCCAGAAATATATTTTTCTCCTTTCTTAATAGCCAGAATAATGAAAGAGCAGAAAAGGGAAAGGATGGATTACTAGAGAAAATAGAAGGCTTATGTATGCTTCCATGGCTTTAGGGAATTCAGACCCTAGAGAATATTCACTGAACTTTTTATTTACAGGACACAAAGTCTTCAATCAGAACTCATCTCCCATGTGCCATTCTAGAATATCATTTCATCTAAA